GCCTGGAAGTCTCTCTGCAGACAGTTCCCAGGTTAATGCTCTCAGTTGGAAGCTCTGAGGTGCTGCAGGGAGTGGGTGCATCCTGCATGGAAATTACTCCATGGCCATTTAAACTGAAAACAGAGTTTGGCAGCCTCTGGAGAGGGAAACCCTGCCTTACCCCAGGCACTGGCTGTGGTTTCCCTTGTGCCTGTGCTGCTGGCTTTGCCACCAGCCACATGCCAGCATCTGGCTAACAGCTTAGGAAGGTGACAGTAGCCTCAGCATCCCATGGCCACAGGCAGGCTCCCTCAGCAGCACTGCTGCCATGTGAGCAGAAAGGATCAGAGCAATTCAGTCTTGCCAGGTAGAGGTGAAAAGCGCAGACAGGCCTGTAAAAATCAGTACTGTCTGAGCTGTGTAAGCCTGACAGCCTGCCTGCTGTCCCTCTACACAGGCACTGCTGCTGTAGCAGTATCTGGGGACTGGCTCAAGAGAGTGTAGGTGTAGGAGGCCTTAGTGTGAGGTGATTTAATGTTTTTTCAGAGACCAGAGGAGTTCAGTAGTCCAGAGGACCAGGAGCCCTGTGTTAACCGCCATGGGAACCATGGGCCTGTGCAGGGGCCAGTATAAAGTGACAGTTCAGGTACAATTAGCACTTGGGTGTGGAAGTTATTTTATTGGCATGGTGCCTGTTTTGTAAGGGTTTGCCTTTGTTATTATTTGGTGTGGGTTTTTTAACTTTTCATATGTATTGTGAGAGCTCACTTGGCTTGTTTCCCAGTAAAAGGAAGTAAAATCCTTTGTCCATTTTAAGCAGATGTGACAGTGCAGAGTATAAGCACAACAAGAGCAAGGTGATAGTTTTTTATTCTAGCTGGTATCATACAAAAAGTAGTAGCAGTTATTTTTGCTGTTCTAATTATCCTAGATTGAGAGATGCAAAATTAATTTTTACTCAGACTTCTAATTTTTTTTTTTTTTTTAAATCTACTGTGTGACTTTGTTTTCAGAAACAAGAAGGCTGATGTTGGTTTTCCATGCAGCTGCACTGAAGTCTAAAGCAATGAAATGTATGGCCTAACATACCTGGACACGCCTTAACACTTCCTTGTTTTTAAATGGGAGTGTCATTGGTGTCTTTACTGTCAAATTCACAGTATGACCTAGGTTATGGTATATTCGTGATGATCACAATGAATTACCATGTGGAGTGCAGGCAGTTGGAAAGTATTCATGTGGTAATTTGAAGAGTTTGGGTATCTGGTAGTGAAGGGTGGCACTCAAACACAAGGCCAGTGGGAGGCAAACTTATGTTACTTGCAGGGTCAGGCACAGCTGCACCTCGCTGCCGTGTTACTGCTCAGAGCAAAGAACAGTTGTAACTGGAGAGTGACCTTGCAGTGCAAACCCAGCTGTACAAATAGAGTTTTACACAGACCCCCTGCTTTGCTGAGGAGCCCCTGTGTGTGTGAGGCTGCTGCAAAGCAGAGCTGGCACTGGGGGTGACCAGGGTGTGCTCCCAGATAAAATACAGGACGACTGCAGTTTGTGCTAACTGCCAGAGGCTCTCCTTGGCTGTGCAGCCTCCCTGGAGATCCAGCAGAGGAGCTGCCAGCTCCCAGTCCCTGGAAACTCATTTATGGAAAGAAGGCAAAGGGGAACAGACTTGTCCTGTGCCTCAGAAACAAGGGCATTAGTGAACTAAAATAGATTCACCCGCGAGCTGCTCGTGCCAGCCTGATGGGCCCTGCTGCCCCAAGCAGTTTGCAGCTGTGGCATCAGGAGCACGGCAGTGCTGGGGGCAGCTGGGTGAGCCTGGAGACAGGCCCGGGGCAGGGGGGAGGAGCTGGCAGGATAAGGATCTGTGTCCAGCTCAAAGCTCATAACACAAATGGCTCAGAGCTCATAGCCTGCTCCCCAGGCCAGTGTCCCCCCCTGCTCAGGCTGCTGCCTACTCCTTGCTGCTGACAGGGACGTGGGTTTGTCAGACTAAACAGATCAAAAGTGCCATTGATCTCCCTCAGCTGCTGGTCCCACAGGGAACTGAAAACTCAATGGGTGGAGTACAAAGTTTGTCTGGCTTCTCTCCTGCTAATTGTAGTCTTCGTTCTCAGGGAAAGAGTCCTGCTTGTTCCTGGAAGATGCAGGTGAGCCACACAGTCCTTGGCTGCCCTGCCCTGCCCCACTTTCTGTGGGGTAGTGAAACACCCGGCATGCCCCATGTGGGCATGGGACACTGCAGGAATGTGTCACCTCTCTGGCAGTAGCCAGAGCCTTGAGTGAAGTGGGAGCTTGAGTCCAAGTCTAACCTTGGGCACTTTTTGGAATGGTTGGCAGGTAGGAGCAGAGTTGCCCAGAAAGCAGGAGAGAGATGCTGCCAGTGTTGGCAGCTGTAGCTGTAGGGTGAGAGCTTGGCACTCGTCTGCAGGCTGATTCAGGCGCTGCTTAAAGGACCACTCACATCTGGAATATTAAGTAGCTGCTGCATGGAATCATGACTGTAAAAAAGGGATTGAGGATGTGGGTTATAGAAGAAGAGCTTCTGCTCAAACAGTTTGGATTTAAGTACAAGCAGCAGGGCTTTTTCCCACTCCCAGTTTCAGTCTCAAGTGGCATTTATTCCCAGGGTTAAATGTTCCACTGTTACTCCCCCTGCCACCCCCCTTCTGTCAGGGGCCAGGGGCCCCTTTGTGCCACCAGCAGCTGACAGGACAGGCTTTCTGTTTTGGCTCAGTGATTCAGCTCCTCTCATACCTCAGTCCTGCATCCCCAAAAGGCTCTCACTGCCTGCCCAGTGAAGCTGTGCTGAGACTGTACCTTGGCATCCCCTCTCAGGAAGTGATTCCTTGAGGCCAGTCCCCTTCATACCAGATTCAGGAATGTGTGAGGGACATCCACACTGGAGGCTGCCAGCCATCCTTCAGAGCTCCTGTGTCTCGCTGTACAGCCTGGCTTTGTCCTCTTTTCTGGGGCAGGTGGCAACGGGGGACTTCAGGGCTGCACTGTCCAGTTCCACCTTGTCACTTCACACCCACCCCGTGGAAGCCAACAGTGGGAAGCAAGATCCCACCACACACAGAGGTGTTTGGCTATTGTAAGTGGAGCCTTTTTGTAACTCCACTGGAATAAGGTGGGACTGATCATCACAATGCATAGATCAGAATAACTGCATGCTAAAAATATACATTATGTATTACCAAAGCCATTAAAGTTTCACTGTAAATTTTGTCTGTACTGTTAAAGATTTTTCTTTCCCCTCCCCCAAGGCAGTAGAAATAAGTGTGTGCATGTTTGTTCCTTCATCTGTCAAGTTACAAAATACTTCTGGAAAAGTGTTCTGTATTTAATAGTAGAAAATAAGATTTAAGAGAGACAGCAGACCCTCAAGCTTGGGCTGCTGTTACATTCTGGGATGATAAACTTGGATGCTTTTTTTGTACTTTCAACACTTCTATTAAATGAAACTGAGCTGCTTTACTTAGCTCATCTTTAGCCATTAAAATTTAAAGAGGGACTCGGTTGGAACTTTTTCCTACCCAAAAAGCACTTTATGTGCATTGGATTTACTGAGGCTGAATGAGGTAATACAGTTACCAAAGAGCTCCTGACCTGATGTTGCTTTCAGAGTGTAAGATGGAAGAGAATTAGGTCCAGATCTCCTGACTTCAACCCCTTGGGAATTGACAGGGTGGTACTGACAGGAATGGGAATATTGACTTGCAGTCAGGGAAAGGAGACAGGAAAAGTGAGTGCAAGAGTCTTCAATCTTGCTGCTTTCCGAAAACTCAATTTCAGAATTTCCTTTGCTTGGTAAAGAATTTATATTTAATTATGTGCAAGAATATTTAGATTTGGTAGTATCAAAATATGTTTACTCTTGTGTTTGTACTCATTTCTGTTTTTAAGAAACCCAGTTCATCTTCAGGAATAGTGTTCTGTGGTGATTGGGGCAGGCTACAAAACACAGGCAAAGAGACACCCCCCTTAGGCATTGCTCAGAAAGCTGAAGCTTTATTCTGTGATCTGCCATGTGTTGCATTAACATGCTGTGGATTTAGCCTTCATCAAGGTCGCGAGTTATCACGGAATCACCAAATCCCAGAATGGGTCATGTTGGAAGAGACCACAATGAATCATCTGGCCCAGCCTCCCTCAGCCAGGGCCATCCCATAACACATAGCACAGGACTGCAGCCAGATGGTTCTTGAAAATCTCCAGTGCAGGAGACTCCACGCCCTCTCTGGGCAATCTGTTCCAGTGCGCAGTCACTGCACAAAGAAGCTCTTGCTCATGTTCAGGTGGAACTTCCTGTGCATCAGTTTCTGCCCATTGCCTCTTGCCCTATTGGCATCACTGAAGAACCTGGCTCCATCTCAGAAACAGTTATGATTGTTTTATAGCTCCAAATCCCAACAAATGTAGGGAAGAGGATCTAGAGGCAATAGGAAATCTAGTGCAAGTGTAAGCACCTTTCAACCAAGATCCTCTAAGTTGTGCCTGTAATATTTAGAAGGATAAGAGACTGACCTGGAATAATTTAATTCCTCTGCATCATGCAAAGAGTAAGATTAAATGCAGAACTATCCATTTTAACCAGAAGCTGTTTTCCTCTCCTGCAATGCACACCCCACAGGCAGCCTCTCCAGTGCCTGTGCCATCCCCAGGGTGGGTCTGATACGTTCCTTGTGGTTATCAATGCTCTCAGCTATCACTAAGGACTGCTGGCAGGCACATACCAAAGTCTCTCTCCCTACAGAGCTGCAGGCATGACCTTGGCAATGTTCAGGGATTAGACTGATGGGGGAGAGGAGGGCATGAATTATAAGGTCCTGGCAGTGTGTAGCAGTGACACAGTAATACTGTGTGGTGTTTCATCTCCTCTATGCCATTATTAGCAGGTACAGATTATCCAGGAAGGGCTACATAAAGGCTTGCACTGTGACCCTATCAAGCAGCCCTTTTATGATTAATGACAGCAAGCTGAGCATCCAAGACAACCCACAAGAAGTTCTGCTTTTTCATGAGGTTGCCTTTTTCTCAAGTCTGTGAACAACGTGAAATGCCTCTAAAAATTCATTGAAGTCAATGTGGCCATCTTTGTTGTAATCTATGCTGAGGACTAACTTGTCAATGGAGTCATCCTGTATATCAATGCCCAGGTGAGAAGTGAACAGTCTCCATGTCTGGCTGAATTCCTCAAGAGAAATCAAACCTAAAGGAGACAGACAATAGGTTGCTTTTGGCAGTGTTGTTTCCCCTTCCTGCATAAACACACATGCACTCTCCTTCACTGCTACAAAGTTACCTGCTTACCATGCTGGGGTTAGTGCTTCCATTATTGAAGCACATTTTTACTTTAGATAACGATTGAATGCTTTTGACAGTGGAATTGAGAAAGCAGTAAAAACACTAGAGTGGAAGGGAGAAAAAGCCCCCAAAAAGTGAAGCCAATACTGGAGCCTAGGGTATGTGAGGCTCTTTTCTTGTTAGGCTCTGTGCACTGTCCCTTATATGATTGCAGCCTGACTGCTTAAAGAAGTTTCCACTAAACTGGAGAAATGATATCACCTCTGGTTCCTCTGTATTTAGAAGCCTTAAGGAGGAAACACAGTGGGGAAAAGATAACTGGTATAGGCTCCCTAGAGCTGACACAGTGAAGTTACCTGGACTTACCTGAGTGATCTTTGTCAATGATGTTAAAGATGATCTCCAGATCCTTTCTGTATCTGCACAGTGTTTCTGCCAAAGCTGGCTGAGCCTGGTTTTGAAATCACATACAACAAGCTATTCAGACCTTGGTTTGAGTTAATTTAACCAACAGAGTATACTATCCAATTTCCATTTTTCCAGTTTAGCTTGTCATATGTAAAAAACCAAATCTTTATGCTTAGTTCTCTGGAATGACACTTCTGTGTCTTGCCCTGAGGAATAATCAGATAAAACCTGTCACTTTCAGATGGCAGGGCAAGGGGGAAAGGAGCCCTTCACACCTCCTACCTTCAGTAATTATTTGTGGAAATAATCTTGGATAATCTACGGAAGATGGTGTAGACCGTGCACTCCTACAAAGCATTCACTGTACAGATGTGAATGGATCCTGCTGTTTAGGAAAATTATGGTGATACCTGTGTTCCAAAGCACTGTGCAGCATTTGGTAACAACTGGGCTCTGTAGAAGTGACCTCAGATACCATTATAAATATCTAAAAGTGCATCTATAAATGTGACTTCCTCCCACAGGGGACTGAACTGCCTCTGGAGCTTGTTTGAAAAGCTCATTTCAAAGAGTAAGGGTTGAGTGCTCTGGGCAGGATTTGTCACATCTCCTCAGCTCCATTATCTAAACGCCCTCGAGAGCCAAGAGAAAGTAAGAAGCAGCTCCAGCATGTGATTCATCCAACCTATTTTAAGCATCTACCTTAGCAGGGAATGATGATTCGTACCCTAGCAGTGTTCATTTTCCTCCAGTGACTAAAAAAGGAAGCTCAGCAACTAGTTCAGCTGTAGATGTCTACTTGTTGGGCCAAACCACTGCCTTGTGCTTCAATTTGCACCAAAAGTTGTTCCTCCAAGAATTGCAAGGAGGTGTTTTCCTCTTTACCTCTTTTATAGGTTGACCCATTTTCAAATCATAAAAACATGACATGAAGTCAACTTCTCCATCTGGGTTCATCTGTGCTAGCTGAGACCGCAGCATCCTCCAGGGCAGTTCCAGCTGTAGGACAGACTCCATGGCTGCAGCCCAGTCGTTGACAGAAATCCTGCCTGCCGGAAGGGGTCAGGCCATGGTTAAAAGTACGGGACACAGCACACATCAGTCACCAGCACAAAGGGTTACAAAACACAAGGATTCTCTCTGAACCCTGGGATAAAAACCCTCATAACAAAGGAGCAGTGGGGTTGGATTAGGCATTTACACAGGTCCCTTTCAGCCACAAAGTTGTGATGCTGTTATGATGTTCAGCATGTTTTAACACCTTTTGAGAAAGCCAGATTATGCCATGAAGAGTACTTCAGGTTTCAGCTGAGCTGCAATTAGAGTGATGTGGCTGAAAACTCAGCCACACAGAAATATGTGAAACAGCTGCTCAGTGGCCAAAGAAACAACATCATGTTATTGAGTGCCCTTGTAAGAACACGGTCAAGTGAGAAGCCATCACAAGGAAAAGTATTTGTGGCAGAAATCAACTTCTTGCTTCTACATAAAAGGTTCATTTATTAACTTAGCACTGATTTTCTTCAGCTGAGGTGAGGGTGTGTCTGTTAGAAGCAGAGGCAGGCTGTGTGTCTGCTGGAGGCATAGGCAGGCAACTTTCCTCAGGTATCTCCCAGACTCAGAAGGAGACCCATTCCACATCCCCCCACACGAGACCCCAGTTCCCTGTCTGACACATTTTGAAGGCAGTCTTACATGAAGGTATTGGTGACTTTTGAGCTTCTGGAACTGGATTTGCCTGCCCAAACTCTCCACCCAACAGCAAACATAATTTATTTATTTGCCCATGTCTTTCAGTTTTATTTTTCCTACTTCAAGCTTCATCCCCTCAAACTGTTTGGGCTGAGCTCTTCCCAATGCCCATCCTCCTCTGTGGTCATGACAAACAAGGTCAACCAGCCTCTGCCTCCCTCAGCCTGACATTGGCAGGCAGGCAGAACTCCTCTCCATGGGGCTTGTCCCCTCTGCCTCCCACACACATGGAAGCTGTTTTCCCCACGGTGGCAACGGGACAGAGAGGAAGCAGTACCTGTGCCACTGACGTCGTATTGTGCAAAAGCACTGATGAGTTCAGACCTGTGTGCATAAATCTTCTCTCGTAAGGACTTTAAGGCAGATGATTCAATTGTACCTACCCTAGGAGGAAAAAAACATCAGCAGATTTATGAAAGGATGAAAATCCTCTCGCATGTTATACTTTTCAACACTCATTATAAAATTCTTATATCCTTTAACATGCAGTATGTTCAGGGTCTAGTGTGTTTAAGTAGGATGACCCAAAACACACAACATTCAGCAGGGGGAAACCCCAAACCAAACAAAACCAACAGTGCTCCATAAGAATAAATTGAGTTTATGAGATAATTGAGTTTATGCAGGTAATTCCAAGCTGCTTTCCTTTAGTAATCTGACCACACTACTAGGCATGGCAAAGCGGTCATGATAAACTTTTGGGACTCAATTCATAACAGGATTTGTCCAGATTAACACTGCAGCCTTAAAGCAGACAGGTGCAGGCCATTTATGACTCCCTGACAATCGTCTGTTCTAACTGCTTACCTCACCTAATTACCTTTGGGTGTTTCTCAGGAAACCAAGTTAAGCCCCTAGAACATGTTTTGTCTGCTGTATTAATTTTTAATTGTAAAATAGAAAACCAGCGAGAATCAAGGAAAATGGATGCCTGTTCAGTTATTCAGTCAAGCTCTAGATTTGTGGCAGGCACGCTCACTGTGAGGTGAGTCCCTGCTCACTGCACGCAACACACGCTTTACCTCTCCCGGAGATTCTGCCTGCGCGTGAGCTTGCTGACCTGGTACTGCACAAAGCGAGGGGTCAGCTCGGGATTCAGCTTGATGTAAGCGCCCCGGTTACTGCCCTCTTCGTAATAGTTAGAGGCAGAGAATATGGTGATAACCTGACACAGGAAACAAAGAAACTGGATTGGCCACAACAGCTCTTCCTGACACATTTCTGAAACTGATCTGAGAAAAAATTCCAGGTTACAAAATTATGTGTCTACATATAAGACTGTGTGATTCACCAAATTGCTCTTGCCTTTTGAGTCAGAGCTCTGGGCTTTTATTTCTGACCTGTCAGGCTTCAGAGAGCAGTGAGATATAACATGCTGTTTAAGAGAAACCTCTTTCTAAGAGAGTCTTGATTTTCAGGATTCTTGTTGGCCTCTCAATACAGCATGTTAAAAAGCAGAAAGGGCCAGAAGAGAAATCAGTAAGTTAAAGGCTTCTAGAGCCTCAGAACATGTCTTGAACTGTATTTACACACAACTCTTGGGGATTTTGTTGATGTCCATTTGTTTTCATGTAAGTAATAAATTGGTCTTCACTCCCGAAAGATGTAAAAATTTTGTTACTCAGAACTCAGTAATTTGTTGTAACATCTATCTAGGACAAAGTTCCCCCAAACCCACTTTAACAAAGTGACTGTCTTTTTTTAAAATAAATTTTGCAGAAAAATATACTGTGGATGTTCCTGTGAAATTCACAGGAGAATTCTACTTTACATGGAAGCATCTTACCTTCCCATCATGACTGATCTCATAACCTTCTGGCTTAAATTCATGAGACCTGATGAGCATCTTCAGATTATATCTCTCAAACAGCTTGGCAGTGACATCAGGACCAAAGTAACAGCCTCCTCCTCGACACTTGTTTGGTGTACAGCCATTTTGGCTTCTTGGATCACTCCACAGAATGTCAAGGATCTATAAACAGCAAACTCAAGCAAGTGAGGACTGATAGTAGAGGAAGACTAACAGGGTATGGCTGTCTAAAGTCGTGGCCACAGCAAAAGCTCCACAGTACAGGATAAAAACACATAGGCCTTGAGGTTTTTCCTTCCTTTCAGGAGCATATTCTTTTGGGCTTGGACTTTTGTTCTACTTTTTAAGAAACATTATCTAGATTTTAGATTAACTTTTTTGCTTCAGAAGAAATATAATTTCAGAAGTGTACCTCCTTTCACAGCTGAGGTTTTCAGACTTGGGCAGGTGTACCAGAAACATTACTTGGGCTAATCCAAAGAGAAAAAAAGCTGCCTTCTTCACATGTTAGTAGGAGAGGCATTTTCTATTTCCCAGCATAGACTGGACAACCACATTGGTCAGTGGTTTTATCTAAGCTTGGGAGTACCTGCTCTAAGCATGCCAAGAGTTGCCTTTGGCTTTATTGTCTTCAGTTAGCTCACATTTCAAACTGACATTTTACATATTAGCACTTTAGCAGGGTTCAGACATGAAGATGAATTATCATGGTTTAATTCTAGTCAGTAGCAAATATTATTCAAAATGTGTTTGTTTAAACTTTTCTGGGCAAGGATTCACTAACCCATTCCACTTCATGTTTGTGAGCATGACTTACTGGATGCTTGATTAGCTGGGGGAGTGTCAGATTTGGTGGGGAAAGGGGAGCCTTGTTTGTGCTCATTATGTTAGTTTGTAGGTCATATAGGTATCTTGGGAAGTCAGATTTTCAGAGAAATTAAGCTTTCCAAATTGTCACAATTTATTAAATTACAGTATAACAAAACCTCTATATTTGCTCTGATACTCAAGATTAAATGAACAGCCAGAGGAAAAAAAATTCCCACTTCTGAGTAATCTGCCTGTATGTCTCAGGAGCTGGGTGGCTTTTTTTGGGCTATATCAGCATTCAGCTGCCAAAAGCACAGCCAAAAAAAGGTGCTTTATCTCACCAACAATTGCAGTCTGACCTGTTTAAACCAACAACCATTTATGTACCAACAGATCCAACCACACGAGGGCAGGCAAATCCATTTCCTACTGAGCAGTTTCCTCCTCCTAACGGCTATGAAAAGAAAATACTGGGTGAATTTTACTTGTAAGGTATAAAACTCCAAGCTTTTATTATCAGGTCTACAAAGAGCATCCAAAAAACCTAATAGGTATCTAATACACTCCTTAGAATGACTGTTTTCCTATTAAGAGACAGTTCAGTCAGACCCATGAACACACTGCCAGAACAAACCGGCTGAGTTTGTGCAGGAGGGGTTTGGTATCACTGAGTCTTTGGTTTCACCTACTTGTTTCCATTCCTTCAGGGCGGGGTCTGGAGGCAAATTTGAACCTGAAGGCTCAGTGAAGTCCGATGAGGAGATGTGTTGTGTCTTCCCTGCAACATGCTGGTTGGCAATGTGTTTACTGGGTTTGGTCATGGGAATTCTCTTCTTCACTTGGTCCTGTCTGTTTCTCATTGACTTTGGTGGCCGCATCAAAGATTTCAACTAAAAAAAAAAAAAGTTACCATCACAACAACAAAAGTTCATACAGAGATGTTGGCTGAAAGGCACACCAGCTCATGTTTCCTATACTCAAGAGAACTCCTTGAGAGTTCAACTAATGTTAACTCCCATAATGTCCTGATTTCACAGGTTTGGGAGAAGCTGCAGGTATTTGGCACTTGCAGAAATTTTGCTTTATACCTATCAGTAAGCAGGCTCTTCAGAGCTGCTTTCATATTCTTATCCAGACACACACACTCATTCCAAACACAGTAAATCTTAAGGTCTCACTATACAGCAAGTAGGGCCTGGGCTCAGGAAGACACTTCAGTGCCCAGCTTCCCTGGAAATAAAATATACATTCATATTGCACATAAGGTGAAACTCCATTCACTTCTGCTCTGACACAGTACCATGCTGTTAGATTAATTTGGCTAAATTAAATGGAGTATCAGGAAGACAGTAGTGAAACTGATGGAATATTACACCAGGCTATATACTGTTAAATCAAACTCCACAAACATGTGTGGGCATTTGATTTTCTGGAGTGGTGCGCCATGGTTCCATGAATGACCGTTAACATGGATTCTTCTCCAGAGAATGTCTTCTCATTGAAATTCTCTCACACTAGCTTATTTCTAGAACAAAGCCAAAATAAACCCCCAAACCAAACCAACCAACTAACCCAAAAAACCCAAAGCAAAATAAAAGATCCTCCCCCCAAAAAAAAAGCCAAAAAACCCCCCAAAAAACCAAAAAAAAACCACTCACCAATAAAACATACACAGTCAGCAGACCCCCAGATTTTACTCTTTAACAAAGAAAAGGACTAATTCAAAACAAATGCACAACACAGGGTTATTCACCAGTGCACTGACCAGTATTTGAAACCTGTCAGCTGCCAGCTGTACCAATTAAAATACATCACTTGGCCTTGAGTGACACTGCCCTGGGTTGTGGCCCACACATGTCTCATTAGCAATGCTCTCCTGTGGCAGCCACTTTGACCGGTTAATTCTGCATTTCACAGACACTGCATTTCACAGAAACATGCACAGCTGAGCCCTGGTGAAAGCATGGGCAGAACTCAGCTCATGGTTAGGACCCAGTTTTAGTGCACAGTGGTGCAGCCAACGGAGCCTAGACTCCAATGATCAGAAGTATTTGTGTCGTTTTTCATATCTTTAAAAAAGAGACACAACTGACTGTCCTGCAAAGCATTTATTTCTGCTTTAGAAAATATGAGGATGACAAGAATAGCTCTAGATTCCACAGCCATTGATGACAGGGTACATTAAGTTGCTCAAACATTGGTCTCCTATGCCATCTGAGATGCTCCACTATGGCTGTGAACTAGTGTGAAGGGGGGAAGATACAAATCTGGCCTAAAAGGCACTGGTGGAGGGGACCTACAGAGAAGACTTTCTTCAGAGGCAGGCTAAGGCCACAGGGCACATCCCTAGCCAACGGGGCACTTCCTTGAACAGCACTGGAGACATGTGCCGACGTAATGATCTCCACCAGATCTCCTGGATCTCCACTATGAGGAGTCTCAGCACCCTGATCACAAACAGACATCTTGATTTAGTTGTTCAAATTGAGACAAATCCCTCACCATTTAAGGTCTGTGTTTGCTCATCATTTCAGGAAAAAAATGAACATTTTTGTCTTTTAAATCCCTGAAAAGTAGTGGATTCTGTTTTATCAAGGCCAGTTCTTGAATTTTGATCCTTCTGGAAAGGCTCTCCCACATGTACAACGCTCAGCTGCTGCCAAGGGAGCGCCTCACAGGTGGAGAACGTCCCCCACACAACAGATGGCAGAAGCACAGCCCCAGGAAAAAAGGCAGTGCTGGAAATATGTGGCTAAATTGATTTCTAAAGTGTCTAAAGGAAATGCCCAACAATCAAGTCATTTTCATACTTTCTGGCTAATGGGTCATCACTGCAGGAGGAGGCATCTAAAGTGGCTTTAACTATTTTAAGGTCAAAAGACCCATGTTATCTGGAGAGCTAGACAACCTACTGCATCCTTGCTTCCTAAGCCCTGATTTTGAAGAAAAATTGGACTATAATTTTTCTTACATGCCTTACACTGCTGCCATTTACTTTCCTAATGCAAATTACTTGATCCTAGCATTTGTACCGCAAAAAATTTAAAAGAAAACAAAATTGCCCTCACATTAATATGATCTCTTACCTTATTTCTCTCAAGTGCATTCAGGAAATCCAAATCTGTCGTGTCTGAAATCCCCCCATGTAGTATAAGAACTTTGCTATCAATTATAGTGGCAAGGGGAAGCCAGCTAAAAACATCTCGCAGAAGACACAAAATCTGTTTCCAATGATCCTGTAAAATATACCCTTACATTAGATCCTATTTCTGGCAGATTCTGTTGCTTCTAAATTCAAGATTTTGCTGAAGTGTCTGCTACAATTTATATACAATTTATATGAACAGTTTTGTTCAGGTGATATCCTGAACTGCAACCCTGATAAACATGTTCCAACATTTATTTTGGGGCCATTTGATTGTCTCTGTAGTGTTTAGTTTTTTCTTTCATGTTCACCTCTTTTTGTGTTCTTGATTGTTCTTATGGATGTTACTTATTTCATCCCACAGATCTCTGGGCATAAGAGACTAGCACTTAAAATTGTTTTGTCAGTTATTCTACTGATAGGCCAAAATAATTTCACCTACATAATTAAAGTAATGCTCTGCTACACCTAAATAAACTGGTTTGACTTTTTCTTGTTTACACAGGTTTCATTTTACATGTGCAAGACTACAAAAATATATAGGGAAAGGAGGAGGAATCTTACCTTGTACTTCTTTGAAACTTCTTTTGTGAATCCATATCTGAAAACAGGACAGCATCATGAACTGGTTTTCAATATGCCTCTCCTGCATGGTTTCCTGTGCTATGGTGTTTTACTGGCCCCCTTTTACTAGCCCCCTTTTTCATCTGCCATTCCATCTCACCTCAGTTGAAATGTGCTTTCCTCCACTCTGACTTGAGAATTTTAAGTTTGACTTAAACTGGTTTCTTGTGCATAATGGAGGTTGGGAACAGAATCCAGCCTAGTATTTCTTAAGAGGCCTTTTTGCCAGCTCTACCTTTTAGACACCAGAGAGAAATTCCAAAGGAACCTGATGATGGGCAAAAATTTCCACAAAACCTTCAGAGAGTTTTTGTCTTAAATATCATATAATCATATCATAGAATGCTTTGGGTTGGAAGGTGCCTTAAAGGTCATCTCATTCCAAACCCCTGACATGGGCAGGGGCACCTTCCACTAGATCAGATTGTTCAGAGTTTCATCCAACAGTCATATATTTTCCCCCACAAGGGACAAGGATTTTGACACCTAATTCTTTTAACACCAAGATATCTTTCAGCGAGGGCATTTTCACAACACTCAGCTTTCAAATTTATCAATGTGCAGCACTACTAATCAAAACACATAGCAAAGAGTGATAGACAGAAATACATCTGTGCATTCCATACCATCACAGACTTAGCTAATATTTTCTGCTGTTTTGGGGAGGAAAACAGCAGAAAATATTAGCTAATATCAGTCACTTAATCTACAAGGTAGGTTTTCCTACCTTGTAGATTAAGTAACTGATCTTGGTTTATGTTTGTTGTTTTTTGGGGTATTTTCAATTAAGTGCTGAAAAATTAACTATCACGTGAAACTGCTTCTCTTTTGTGGATCACTAGTAGGACTTGCCTATGGGCCTCTGACAGATGCTAACACAGAGGCCTGTGTTACGACAGCAATACATCCTGTGTGCCACATCAAATGATCCAAGGGGTACAGCAGGTTACCCACCAGTCAGTCACCCAAAGGCTTTCTGGGGCAGTTTGGAATTGTAGGGAGTAGGACTGAGGAGTTCTCACATCTCTGAGATACTTTTTGTCTCCAAGTCACACTTTAACTACAGCCAGAGCCATTGGCTGTGCTCACTCCCTTGGCTGCACTGCACAGTTAAGTGCAAATGTGTGTTAGAAAACAGGGTGTCAGCTTTCCTGCACTGACACCTCCAATTGATGAAGCTCCTCTGAGTAGAGGGTAGGATATTTACCTGCCCCTTGTGTTAGAGAAGTGAAATCTTAGTTCAAAGTTAACTAAAATATCAGATTTTGCTAAATATGTGCTTCCATCTGTCCTTCCCCAATTTTGGAAGCTGCACTAAGCCCTCTGACTTCAATGGACTATGATCAGCTCAAAGACAGGACATGATTGCCATTCAAATGTCTGTGTGTAGTGAGGATGTTCCTTTCCCACACACATGCTGAAAAGGCAAAGCTCCACCCGACTACTTAATAAAACATTATTTAATTTTAGGGTGTCAGAGTGGCTAAAGTAGCATTCAAAAGCTCAAATATTTTTAGTGATAGGCCAGATATTACCTGCCCCACCCCCAAAATCTACCTCAGGTTCATGATGTAGTCTTCATGGTTTCCTCTATTCAAGTGTAAATCATTGGGATAGATAAGAAGAAATGCAAATAGGATTATAAGTATTTCCATAGAATTTTTCCCTCTGTCGACAAAATCACCATTAAAGACATAGCGGTTTTGTTCTGAAGGCAGACCATTCTGCAGAAAGAAAAAAAAGAGGCATTTAGAGAGGCTGCTATGCTACTGTAATAGAGGAAATAGCATTTAAATGAGATCCCATTGCTAGAAATTTTGAAAAAAAATTCTGCATAATACAGAGATCTAAAAAGCAGCATTTCTTTATCTCCTGTTTAGAATAAAAACCTTCCTATCAGACAACCTGAACCATTAGAGAAGAGGGGACCTCTCTGGCTGTTCTTACAATGTCATCTCTAATCCCTTCCTCTACTTATTAAAGTAAATTGAAAGGGACCAAAAAGAACATCAGTCTTGTAGTAAAACATACGTTTTTGTTAATGCAACTGTTGCCAGGAAATTACACACTTAAATTACTTGTAATTTCAGAAGGGAGTCGTTCAGTTTGAATGGAAGGTAAGAAATACATGAAAAATTATCTTCTGATGTAAGTTTGAATGGATTTTGTATATTTACATTGTTTGCAGTGTATGCTTTCAAAACTCCTGAGAAGGACTGTAGTCCAGAGGATATAAAATCTTAAGGCAGAACTTAAGACTTGAAGAGTTTGATTTCAGTTGCTTTAATCCTGAAAGCACTGCTTGAATTTTACATATGAGAGCCAAAATACACTTGAAAGCTCACAAACCTGAGAGGCTGGATATACAGGTATTTCTTACCTTATTTTTTTTCTGAAGATACAGAGAAATGCTTTATTATAAATGGTGACATTGTAAATACAAGTATTTTGAACTGATAGTTTGTTTTATTAGATTAATTACCAGCACATGAATGGGTGCCAAAAACTTACAGAAAATATAGCACCACCTATATGTAGCTTCATCATTTCCAGTCATCAGTACCAGAAATAGTATTTCAGCTTTGACTTGCCAGAAGAGGGAAACCTCTGTTTTCTCAATTGATATGCACAAGAAATACCAATGGAACATCTATAAAATTACATTATAACTGTGGAAGCCACTCTTAAAAGTTCTGGCAGCATTGCAAGACATCCCACTTCTTGAATATATCTACAGTATCAGCGTCAAGCCTTTCTTGTGTTCCTATGGCATTACTGGTATTCTGCCTTAGTGCAGGATGTATAAAGTGGCCAGGGACTCCATATAGTGTGTAATTTGAATCCTTATGAGAATATCTTTTTTTGTCCCAATCAGTGTTGTGTGCTTTCATGTTAAGGTTGCAGTAGTGAACCCTGGTCTCTCCATCCTGGCTGCTGTAAATTTCAGCTTCCTTGGATTTTGCTATAGCCTGTCCTGAGCCCTTTCCAAGTTAACTTAGAAGGCTTGTGCTTGCTCTGTGCTCACAGGTGTGGCAATGTATGAGGCTCTTCTAATGCAGTGGGTTGAAGTGATTTTATAAAGGAGACGATGGATTTCAGGAGTGGAACAGACAGCAGAAACTCAGCAGCTGTTTCTGGAAAGATAGATAAATAACAAATAAATGCAAGCTTTGCCTTAAAACCAATAGGCATGTGAATCCACCAGTGGATTGTGACTATACACACAACCACTCTAACTGCAGTCCTCATGGAAAGAAACATTTACTGGAGCACGCTCCAGACACTGTCACCCTCCTTTTGGAAAAGATTACACACAATTTGAGTTTTAAACAAGTTTGGTTTGGACTTCCAACTTCAATGTGACATTTTAGTTTTGTTCCACACTCATGCACTTTCCTTTTCTGTGGTTTCAACCAACAAAGAGAGCAAAACGAAATTAAAGGCTGTTGCAGCCTCTGACATGTCAGAGAGGCAAACACGGCCCTCTAATGATTAGTAACTTGCTGCTGGGCATCATTACTGTATCTCCTGGGTTAGTGATTAATTAACTTCCGTTTGTTGTTGGCATTTTCTACTGCTTCAGGCCATTTCTATCTATAGCATCTCTTTAACAATCTAACTTAGCAATACATAATTTAAAATTCAAGTGTTTCAAGGAATATCAGGAAATGCTGTAATTTGATGAAGATTAATGCTAGGTCAGAATGAACCTTACAAACTGGTTATTGAGGAAAAAAAAGCAGGAGTCTTAGCTTCAGCCAAACCAGGTGTAAGATTCCACACCATTTGCAGCATCGTATCAATATGCTGTATATTGCCAGCTCTGTGTGTTTGCTGGGGGTGGACTGTGCAAGTGACAAGCCTGGTCTGCATGCAGGCCTTCAGAATCCATTTCAGCTCTGCACAGCCATGTGCAGACCGAGATCACTCCCATGGCATTATTTAGGATTGCACCCTCTTGTTTAAGGTAGTACTCCAAGGTACCAACTCGGAGGATGAAATCCATTCCAACTGAAACAGAGTTTAGGAAGGAGAAAAAAAATGGATCCCAGAAGCCAACTGGGTTCACTGCTCATCTGAGAAAACTGCTCAGAGGGGACATAAAATAGTGTGATTTAATTTGCTTCTAAATAACTAATCATCTCTATCATATGTTCTCTACATTCTCAACTACTTTGAAATAACAAAACATTTGCCCATTTTATTTGGTTTGATGGAATGGACTTCCCTAGAAATTTAACAGAGAACAGCTGGGTATTATCTCTAGTCTGAAGTCAGTGAGAGTTTTGGCTCTGAATTTACTGAAGTCAGGATAAGAGTTGCTTGTTTTTTTCTCTTTATAGCATCCATTAGGGGGGGGGAAAGAATTGGCATCTGTTTACTCCAAAAAAAATAAAATGCAGGCTGAATGCAGTCATAAATATAATTCTATCTGAGCATTTATCTCCAAAATAGTTATATTTCCCATTCCAGGTTCTGTGTGTGAAACCAATATGCATCATACTTATTCTAGTTTTAAAAGAGAGCTAAACAACCAAAGGACTGCAAGCCAAGGACCAGCTAAAGATGGTTGATCATCAGTGCAAAACATTTTGCATGGAAGTAGTGGAGCAGTCTGCTCACAGGTAATGAGAACCATCACCTCACAGTTAGTAAGAAAAGCAGGACTCTGTAAAAAGGTCTGATTATATTTTAACAATACTTCAACAGACTTCAGGTGCGCACTTGGGCAAAACAGCCACATTCACGCTGAACAAGTCTCAGATGAAGTGTAACAAAGCTGGAATCAGGGGGAGAATGACATAATTTAAACACCTGGTTTGGCTCACTTCAGTCTCCATTCAGTGCAGATGAACGTGTACGGATCTGACACAAACCCTTTCCCCCTGCCCCGGAAAGCTCAAATCAAAGAGAGTACCTGCTCAGTCAAAGGTGGTGATTCATCCTGAAGATGGATGTGAAACTAAATACACAACATTTCCTGCATCTTCAGTTAAACACACAATTGTGGAAGAGCTAGCCTGAAGCTTAATTTGTTTCACACATCAGTAAAACATAGTAAAAAGCTATGCTTTTTTTAGCATGATAAAAAAGGATATGTAAAGGATGCACAAAGTACTTCTATTTTGTGCAGACCATGTGATTGCTTCCAAGGCTTAAAAAGCTTTTAAACACCACTCTTTCTTGTTACCTGATAGAAACAAAACCACCTCTCTCCCAAAAAAAACCCAACAACAATAAAAACCCAACAAACCCAAAAAACCAAACCAAAACAAAAAAATAGCCAACCAAACAACAAAAACCCCGAAACCAACCCAAAAGCAAACCAAAAAACCTGCAGGTATCAGTGGAAGGCCTAAATAAAAGCTTCTGCATTTTTTCTTGAATGTTAAAATTATCCACGGTGTAGTGTTACATCAGGAACTCAGCTCCTGATTTTAGCAGACTTTAGTTAATATGGAATTTAAAACAGTGGCAGAACTTTGGAGACTTTGCAAGGAGTCCTCTTATGTTTTGGCTCATGCTGCAGTTGAACATTCAGGAAAATAATAATCTCCTCAATCTCCTTCACAGTGAGCAGGAGAACATGAAGAAGGGAAAGCTCTGACAAGGACACCAAATTGTTCCAGGATTTGTGTGTGTGGTGTATGGGCACCACATGAGCAGTTCTAATGGTGCTAAATCTGTCACATATAAATATGTGTTCTTAATAACAAATTAAGAAAAATTACAAATTAACAAATTAATAACAAATTAAAGTGAAAATGCTACATCTCAGAGTACCTACTTACCTTATAGAATATCAGCAAAAGATCATCCAGGTTTCCATGCAAATCTCCTACAGGAAACAAAAACTTTTTTTACAAAATTTTCTCACTGAGGAAGAAACTAGCATTATAAAACTGGAATTAGTTGGACTTAATAAAATGTTCCCTATATTTTCCTTATGTATATAAACCCAGAAAATGCCACTAAAAGACATTTTGAAATATAATAGACTCTTATATACTAATGGGTTTAAATTTACCAAAGTAGCCCTTTCTATACTGCACAACTGAATGTGTTTCAGGCACAGGTTTTGATTACTACCAGCAGGAAGTAATGGAGAGTGTCAAGAAGTGTCCATGCCTGTGTGCCTCAATGCTAAGGCCACAGGAATGATGGATTGGGCCCTTTTAGAGAGGTTTGTTTGGAACAGGCAGGAGGATTTCACCCCAGCACAAAGCATCACTGCAGCACAGATCCCCTGTGCATCTGACTGCATTTCATGCTCACAGAGCCAACCTTCTCATGTCTGTGACTCACCACCACAAAGCTGCAGAACAGTTTCAAATTGTATCTTTGATAATATGCTTTTACCACCAATAATTAGGAAAAGAGAAATTACATTTTTATGTGTATACATTTTCTGTGCTTTTGATTAATTATGAGCCTGCTGAATTTGTTCTAAGGGATCTTTCAAGCTATGATAGGTATTTATCACATATGTGGATGCAAACATTTCAGGTATATATTTAATCTGCATTATTAATTTGAAATTATAAGAAATCAACATTTTGGACCAATTATGTTTAAAAATGGGTTATCTGTCTTCTGCAGAGGCTCCTTCTGGTGACAAAAGCTTTAGTTTCAGTACAGGAGAGGGGTCCCTTTTGATGCTGCTTACATAGTGCAAATGCAATACAAACATGAAGAGGAATGTTTATGTGTTGTGAACAATCATGTATCTGTGTTTCCTTGGTTTGGAATGGGGTCTTGTTGGCTTGGTCAATAAATTATTGTTTATAAAAAACCTAATTTAAACAAACCCTTTCCTGACAATCAAAATAGGTCCATAATCACATCTTAAAAAATATTATTTATTTTGCATGTCCCACAGTACCTCCCTTATACCACTTTACTATTATACACAGCACACACTGATAGATGTCAAGAGTTATGTCACCATTATTGTTCTGTTTTGCAGCTACTGCATTCTGTATCAAGTCAGGATACCACATCCCATTATCCATAATTTACAAAAGTGTAACAAAATAGATGGGCAAAGAGCTCTTAGTTCCTTACTGTGTGACACATCATTCTGTGCAACTAAATTGTTGGTTGTATAAAGACTTATCCATCCTCTTGGGTCTCCTTAGAAATGAGGGGTTATTATAATTTCAATTTATCCTAGATAGTCATGCTGGCAATGAAAGGTCTTTCTTGTCACCCATATTAAACCCTCATTAAAATCATTACCGAGTAAATTATGATTAAAATCATTAAAATCATTACTGAGTAAGGTTTTTTTTCTCAGTGAGAGGAGAAAGAGGTGAGACTTACAGCCAGTGATCAAAATGCTTGGTGGCATTTTAGAGGTGGAAGTGCAGGAGCATTTAAGCTGCACTGCAGTGTTAGCTGAATTAATACTGACTCATTCAGAAATGTTGAACAGGAAAGAGGAGGTGAGAGAATTTCCTAAAATATACTTTATGACTCAGGAACTGTATTTTTTTGTTTGTTTGCTCCAATTTATGCATTTGTGGGGGAAAATAAATAAAAAGAAATAATTTTTTAGGGCATTGAGGACTTTCTTCTAATGGCAAGATTTGGAAATGTCAGTATCATTCTCTAACCAATTAGAATATCAACCCATAGCCCAAAGCAGTTATCTTCTCTGGCACCTTACCACAGACAGTTATCTCCTTGGAGTAGGAAGTTGAAAGATGGGTAATATTTGGCATCTCCTTGAGAACCCTCCTAGTTTCACTTAGCAGCTGCAGTACATAGCGGGCATGAAGCAGCTGTGAAAATAAAAAGCAGGTAGAAAAGGAAGACTTATTTGAATTAGCAATAGGTCTGTCTGCTTTATTAATATCAGACATGTACTGCCAGGGTTATTTATAGTGCAGACCTCCAGACATGAGTACAGGCTGTAAGGCCTGGTGCTGGGAATTAATAGCGTTCATAGCTCTGCATTTCCTTCCCAGTGAGTGGATATGGAGCCCTTACTGAACTTGTTTTACAGATTTTCCCACTTTATTTATACTGTACTGTTTCTATTCTTCCTATTTTTCAGAAGAGATAAGACTTATGAGCACTCAAAATCACTGCATAAGGCCATCTGTTTAAAGTAACTGGGAAAAAAAAACCAAAAAGATGGCATTCTAGGTGTGAGTAAAAAACAAACAAAAAATATCTCACAACCTCCAAAACACAAGACAGCAACAACAAAAAAATCCAAAGGCCATAAATGATATTTCAGCAAATTGCAAAAATAATCAGAAGAAAACTCCAGTAAGGGCTGCCTTGGCAAGGGTTATCTTCCTGTTCACAGTGAAGAAGTTATAACAGTGCAACATTGAAGCTTCTGGTCTTCTCTCCTGATGTTTTTTATGAAAATTTTGTTGGTTGGTGATTTTTAAAGCTTTTAATTTCAACAGAGATCTGAGGAATTTTAGCAGAGGAGATAGATGAGCTACAGAATGACTTTTCAAGACTCATGTCTTTAAGCAATCAAAAAGGCCAATTACATATGACTGTTTCCTTAATAAAATGCCAGCCATAATTCCAGAGAAGGGAGAGTGGACAGTAAGGTGAAGTCTGGGTTGGCTCATTTATCATGTTCTTTATATTTGATATTTTTACAATCAGCCTCCACAGAAAAATTACTAGAGAAAAATATTCTTATTTAGTAAATTAAAAAGCATTATAGACCCTTGCACCTTTTATACAGCACACTGTTAAGCACAAATCATTACAAGTTCAAAGAAAGCTGTCCCGTTTAATGCCTCCCTGCTACACCTTCATCTTGTGGGCAACAAAAGGGCTTGCTCAGGAATATAGAGAATGGGGAACAGCCTCCTCAGTGCCTTGAAAGCTGCAGCTTGAACTCCAGAGATTTGTGCTATCACTCTGTTCTGCTACATTAGCAATGCTTTATAGTCATTCCACTGTTATGGTGGAGTCTTGCACCCTGCAATGAGGTGATTAACCCTTACACCTCAATTCCTCTAAAGGAATGAGGTGGGGGACAAAAGACACAGGACCAAACAATGAACACTTTTAACCCATAAAAAGATGATAATTAGTTTCTATTTTAAGTTAGGACACTTTCCCCAGTCCTGCACTCTCACTGAGAACCCCTGCCTTGCAGCTGCTAAGGGTTCCCATTTCATTTCACTAGTCCTTGCCTCCTCCCCAGGGGAGAGGTCTGGTGTCATGCAGCAAAATAGTGAATCAAATGTGGGAACTGGTCTGTCTGAGAACTGTCTGCTTTTGATTTTATTGTGTTAGCTTATAGCCAGATCAATCTCCCAAGACAGCTTACCATGCACATTTATGATCACATTGGGCTAACAGGAAAAAGTAATGAGATGTAAAAGAAGGGTGAAATATCTCTTTGGGCACCAGTTTAGCTTTACATTGGATTGTGGAACTACACCTTGACAGATGTAAAATAGGTTAAAAAAAGAAAACAAGCTAGTTGCAAATTACCTGTTCATTCCTGAAAGCATGAAGGAGAGCATTGGCATCTTCAACAGTAAGGGGGAATGAGAGTCGTGGTCCACCATAGGAGTCTGGAACATCAATCTTCTTTTCAAATTCTTTTAAACACAAGTCTTCATCCACCACCTGAGGAGCACTAGGACTGGTAAAAATTTGAGAAACTGGAACAAGATAGAAGGAAAACAAAAATGTATAAACTCTACCAGGACCCATAGAGCTGTAACAGCATAGCCAGAACTGGTTGAACATAACAGCTTTAAGTGCTGCAGTATTACAGTGGCTGACTCCTGCCTCCTATAGTGGAAGAGCTCCAGGTCTCCCCAGATTGTTTCACAATACTAAAACCAACCACCCAATCAACCACAAAAAGGGGAAAAAGACCAAACCAAAGTTAAAAACAGGCAAAAACTCTTTTCCAACTGTAGTAACTGTGGTCAGGGTGCAAAACATTTTGCACTGAAGTTGTGGAGCAGTCTGCTCACAGGTAATGAGAACCATCACCTGGTACAAACCTTCCTTCTCCTTCCCCGTGATGCAAGGAGACGCAAAAGTCATGGCTGATCATTTAATGACCATCATCTGTTTAAAGTTCAATATTACGTTTTTAATACAGGTTTTGAAGTTTCCCTTCTATTGCTTTTATTTCCTACTTAAAATTTTTAGGCTAAATACCAGCAGGTCACAGTGATTATTTTAAAAGTCACCAACAAAATTATATTTATTCACAGCAAATTGCAAATCACACCTTTCTGATACAGCTAGGAAACAAAGCCAGCTTTTGGTTGGCTTCCATAAAACTACTGGATGAAACAAAGTAAACAAAAACAGAGTGGTGAAAGTAGACCATATTCTAATTTTCCTGGAATATGAAGGAAGCAGGAACGCTGCTAATTGCTTCAATCCAATATTTTTCTTGACATAACCTTGAAACGTAACTGACTGATCAGCAGATTTCAGTTTTCTTCTTGCAGACTGTCTTGGTCAAATATTATTCTAAAAGAGAGAAACAGTCGCTAAATGAAAGTGCTCTAGCAGATGCTGTTGCAGAGTTGCTCTTGTGAGATGATTGTTGTAAACACTTTTTGCTGGGCTACAGTTAAGTTTTCTGTAACCCTGATTTCCTTCAACTGCAAATAAAAATGTATTATTTACAGCTGTGTAGCTGTATTATTTATTGCTGGTTTACTGCTGACCTGTAGCTGTGACTCAGAACTCACAGTAGCCAAAACCAGCATGTGACCTCATAAATTATGAGATTCATAAAGGCCAGCTTGTCTTGCAACTGGATAAAATCAATATTAAGGAAATAAATAGATAAAAATGTAATCTGGATTTTAAAAAGTCCTCTTTTACTATCAGCACTTCAGCTGGGAGCTGATTAGCACTTTCAGTGCTAATGCAATGTTATACTCAGCCATTTAAATGGATTAAGGCATCAAGTAACATCAAGTGCTCAGGATTCACCATTTTCACCAAGTGCAGTTTGATTTGCAGTCCTCCACCACAGTTACAGCTTTGTCTGACTGGACACCAGAATGTCACTGTGGGCTGAAATTGCTGATTCTCACACAGTGATCAAGTGATCAGCCAAACACATTTGCAGCAATTCTTGCTCCAGCTCTAGCAGCAGGTCTCTGGACAGTATCTCCCTCTGCACTCCACTTCCCAAGAAGTGGGGGACTACAGAACCAACTCCTCAGACCACCCAAATGCCTCATTTCTTGCCTGTTCTAACCAGCTGTCCTCATCTGATTTGACTCCTTCAGAGCCAGTCATCTTCTCAGCATCTCAGTGATCTTTTCATGCCAGGCAGACACCTGCCCATGCCTGCTCCTACTCTTGCCTTCCCTTCCAGCACACAGCAGGCCACCCATCCTTCACTTTACCTCTGAACATGAACCTGCCTTCCTAACAGACTCCCTTCTCTTTTGGCACATGCTCAGGCTGGGAAACCCAATCCTTCCCTGTAGGGCATATCTCTGCAAAGTATACCCCATTTTCCACTTCTGGATGAGTAGTCAAAAGCCAGTCATGGTCATTAGTCTTAGAGTGTACTTATGGCTCCTCAGGCTGTCTTTCAGCTGGATTTTAAGGCTTCTTCCTGCACAGCATGACTGTCCTGTCTCTGAACAGTCAGTAATGGATGACCTAATGCAGCCTAGGGAATCACCATGCTGTCCAGCAAGTACCCCAGCTCACCACACACCCCATTTAGGACAATTCTGAAGGATTCAGCACCCCCCCATTTTGCTTTTCTAGTCAAAGCCGTCAGGGCTCTTTCAGTTATACTGAAAGACAGGGATGTAAAGTCTTGGCATGCCTGGTTCAGGCACACATGTTAAGACAGAATGAAACATTCTCTACCAGCATCTGCATCTCTCCACTGACTAGAGGGAGCACAGGCAATGACCTACTTTGTACTCTGACACCAGAGGTCTAGCCCAGGCTCAGAGAGTTGAGCCCTCACTATTAACAAAACACAAACAACTACAGCCATATTCCATGTTAAACACAAATGCCCAGAGCTAAGTGGAGTCAATTTGGCCACAGAAAGCCCAAATACCTGATTCTCCTGACCAGATCACCTTGCCATGGGAGTTTTTCAAGGCAAGTCAAAGCTGACACTTCCAAGGATGTACTCACTATCAGGGTAACCAGGAATCAGATAATTCTGCAGATCTGAACTCACTTCTCTGTTCTGCCACCATCTGTATGCCTTCAGCCTGACCATTGGGGCACCTGAGAGCACCTCTGACCCTTGAGAAACGCTCTTACATAAGCCAAATACTTATATCCACAGCCCTCAGGTCAAAGCCAAATGGACACTGAGCCTACAAAGAGGAAGGAGATTTCTAAAATGCTTCAAACATTTCTTCCTTCACACTATTCCTGGTGCTGCAAACTGCAAGCAGCTATAACTTATCCCCACTGCAAGAATCACTCTGTGTAAAACATCTTGGAAGGGTGTTAAAGCTGCAAGAGAGGCATCATGGGGAGTGAAACTGCAGAAAACAACACTTTTTTTTTTGTTCCCCTTTGAAGGAAGGCTCCTGGAGGTGCCCTGGTGACCTTGACAGGAACAGGTTTAGATTCCCAGTCTCACTATTTTTCTCAGGACGCATCTGCAGTCTTCTCACCCTCAATGTGCCCATAAAAGAGTGAGTAAATGGGTCATCTTTTGCTGGAAAGGCAGTTTCCAGCTTTCTCTGACCAGAGAGCTTTCCATTGAAAGCTGAGAAGGTAGGAAGATTTTTTTTCAGGAAATGAGGGAGAAAAGTATAAGTTAGAGAAGGATTTGCTTCTTATTTTCCACAAACCCTTGCAAAATAGCTTTTAATTAGAAGCAAAACAAGACACTCAGCTATATAATATCCCAATCACAAACTACACTGACATCTTAAGGAGAATGAGAGGATGAAAAAAGCTTTAGGGTATAACAGATAAACAATCACATCAAAAGCACTACTGTGTTAATGAGATGGCAGCTGCTTTCTTTCTTTGAAAAACATAATCTGAAAAAAACAGATTAAAAAGAGGAAAGTAACAAGATTAATGGTGGAGGCTGAGTAGTTTATAATGTAAGGAAAACCACAGATCACAAATTTTCAAGTAACTTTCTTATCACATACTGAGAAGAACAGGCAACCTATTCTTTGGTAAGAATATTATATATTGTCTTCTTGGAGACAGCTTTTGAACCATTTGCTATCACTCTAATTTGAGTAAGCACACACTGATGAAAAAGATAAAAAGCCAGAGAACTGCAGGTTTTAGAAAATGCTTCAGAATAGAAAAGTCAATTTGAAGCCTCTCTGGTTGTTATGTTTACATTCACTCTGGTTCACATCTTAAAATGGTGATTCAGCAGAAGTGGAAGCAGTTCTTTAAGAATCCCTCTATTCAGCACTGATTTTGCTTACATGAGTGGGGCTGGCATGAGTGCTGCAAAGGTCACTTCCAGGGGCAAGCAACCAAGAGCTTAAAGCAAAGAATGCACACAGCCAGCAGTTCAAAAAAATAACCACAACCCACACAGTACACATTTGATATTCGATTCATTAAAAAAATCTAAGCTCCTTTGCATAGGCAGCCTTGGCCATCTCTTTATTTAACATACAGTAAAATTTTTCTGGTTTTTTTATGGTTCTGCTATCTGTAACACACGGTGTTAGAAAGGGGGAACAAACCAAGATGAAAATAAAGCCTTTGGAGCAGTTATCAAATCTTAACTATGTCAGTCCTAAAAGATGGAAGTTTTAAGCCAGCAAGACAAAGGGATGCTTTACCATAAACCATATACACTTTATCATGTGTTTCAGCCTTAACCACATCTGCAATTCCCAATATGTACAAGGCCAGGAAACAGGTCACCTGTGCAGTGATGATGAGGAGCAGCCCACAGGATCTTCCATCTCCCTGCCTGTGCACAGGTGAGGCTCCGATCTCCACCAGCACACGAACAGCCCATGCACATAGCAGTGTGCTCTGCAATGTGCTGAGCCCTAGCAAGTCATCTGAGACACCTCACCTTTATTCCCTCTGTCAGTATACACAGTTAATAAAGGTGGATAAATCATATCTACAACAAGCAGATGTAAAATTCCATTTTAATATTATAAAAAAAATAGAGATTAACAATATTTTGTCATACCTCAGACCTAGCACTACTGTTTTCTTTCTTATTCAGGTGGAAAAGCTGAACAGAGGTGCACCATCAGCATGAAGAAGTAGATGAAGTGAGCATTATTTGGTTTTTTTTTAAGTTTGCCAATTCCTTCCCAGGAAGTTAAATGACCAAAGCAGATTTTTTTTTCAGAATATGGCAGTAATGGGAAAAAAATGAAAGGGAGGACTGTTGAATCATCTGCCTTGCCTTTGGAGCAAGGCTCAAATGTAATTTATTTTTCTGCAGAGCACAGAGAGCATTAGGCACTCTAAAGTATTTAAGAGAGAAAAATTGCAATTTCTACCGGTTGTCATTAGAACACTGAACCACTTAAGGTTTTGATGATGGTTTTATCCTGCTATCAAAGTATCTTGTGCAAATTTTAATTGGAATAACCCGTGGTTAGAGCAGATTAAAGAGAAAGGGCATTCTCTTGTAATGCAGTAAGAGGGGGACAGCCTCATTTTTAACTCTGCTGGGATTAGATCTATTCTGAATTTGTTCAGGGAAGTCATGTTTGTTTTCTGGACTTAGGAATCACTTTCAGTCTGTCCTTCTGTTGAGCTTGACCTCAAAAGTAAGTTATGTCCAAGGATCCCAAAATACTTCAAAAATTAAAGGTTATTCCTTGAATAACTGAAGCTTAATTGAGATGGTTTCAAAAGATTTATCTCCAACAGTTTAAATTTATTTCTTTTTTTATCATTCACATACTGATATATGCTGCAGTAAAATCTAGAACAAATTAAACTTAAATGGGGTCCAGAACTGCCAGAGGTGGTGGGTGGTGGGGGAGAAAGAGCAACCTCTTTGATTATACCTACCTTAAATCAACTTAACACAATCTTTCTGCTTTCTGGATAATTACATCTTATAGTTTAAGAAAACATGAACTGAAAGCTGTGAAAACTGGATTCTGTAGGAGGGGCAGTAACACATAAGAAAGCACTCTGAACACCTCTGAATATTCTCATAAGGACAACAGACACCTGTTCTGACTTACTGACTGCTCTGACTCACAAAGTAGATAGTAAGCAGTGTCAACACTTAGAGGATCAAATTCATATTACAGTATTTAGGATATCAAACCTCAACCCCAGCACATGCCATAGGCTGTAAATATCATATTGAAAATTAATTTTCCTCACATCAAGTTTTTCAAACACAATCTTCGCATTACTTTTATTGTTATTGTTACCTGAATCAGGATGAGTACAATGATCCAGCATGAATGTAAAAAAGTTGGATAGCTGAGTATGAAAAAGAAAAGAACACACTGATCAGTTTAGGTGATCCAAAAAACATTAATATCTTTCTTACTCTATTACTTGCAGTTTCCCACTTAGGAGGATATAAGTCACTACTGTATATTCCCATAGTATCAGCCTGCAACAATGACACAATTTATGTCCTACTACAAAAACAGCTCCCTTTCTTTTTTTTTGCTATGAATTCACCACTGACACTTCATGAATACATAAAATGTTTCAGGGCTGCTGATGTTTCTAGGTATAATTCACCTTGCCCACCACCCAGACTATTTGCCTAGACTTCCTTCATAGTCAATAGAAACAACTGCTACAATGCAGTTAACTGACTTTAGACACAGATGCTAGGATGAACACAAGGGCCTGTAAGTTCCAAATTTCCTACACTGACCCTAAAGGAAGCCTGGGCTGATACTGATACTGACACTGGGCTGAAACACTGGTATCTCTGTTGCACATATATTGCCTCACAGACAGTTAAGATCACCCCTAGTGATCCGTAAATGACCTGCAATCCCCGGCTAACAGAGCTGCTATACAGGAACTTATACCCTAGATAGGCTGTATGGGCAGAATGGTGTCCTGATGCCTATGTAGTTACATTCATCTGTTTGTCTGTGTGTGAATACACACAACTTAATTCATGTGTCAGGCAGGGAAACAGTTTTATTAATCAAGACCCAGCTTTGTACAAGAAACCACCACAGACACATTTTGTTTGTGCAGCCACAGTCCTGGGGATAACATAACTGCTTGTATAGGAAGAATGGAAGCTCACAAACCTGTAGTTGATCCTGCTCGTCAGCATATTCGATTGACTGAAAGATGCTGAGAGAATAGCGGCGCCTCATCTCCAGGCGGGCCATGGTGAAGCGGTACCACTTCTGGATGAGGATTGCAGCTCTAATGACTGTCAAAACAGAAAGCACTGGAGTTCACATGGATGCAGGGTAATCTACAAGGAAAATATGCGGGCCGCCTTTGCAGAATTTTGCAATCAGATGAGGAATTCTGTCCATTGTGCACAGTCAACAATAAGATGAAACCCAGTAAAAGTGAGACTGAAAAAATACGTGATGCCTTCACTGTTTCTGTCTTCCAACACAGATCCCAAGCTAGCTGACTGGCTCAGGCCTAAGTAGTTAGTAACCTTCCCCATTTAATTGTCTTGAAGACAGTACCCAGGTAAGAAGTCAGTCATGTCCAGCTGATGGGCACTATATGGGTTTTGGGAAGGTGAAGGAAGAACAGTTTGCCCTATCAACAATTATTCTTTATCAAGCTGCAGTAAAAAGCTTTGATTTTGCAAGCTGTGACATGAACAACGATGTAATGACAGTATTTGCAACAGCCTCTTCTACCAGAAAGTTTTTGCCTGCAGAACTGCATCAGCAAGCCAGCAAAATTCAAATCCTAGGATAAAAAGTTAACAAATGGTATTGAAGGGTAGAATATGTTGCTTAAATAGACAAGCCAAAAGGCAATGAGGTATTGTTTTAGCTAGATTGGTTAACAAAAGAACACTCACCCCAAAAAGTCAATGGAACATGCCCAGAAGACCATTTTTGACTATGTGCTGAATATGCATTCCACTCAGCACTTTAAGAAGTTGTGTCTACTATGGTCTCAGTCTGGAAAACTGCTGGAAACTTTGCTGAAGGACAATCATCAAGACTGCAGCCTGGAAAAAAGAGCCTGCTGTCTTCAGGCCTCATTCATGCCACAAAGAGATCACATTCCATTAACTGCTCAGATAAAAATTTAATTTAATTTTGCTCTTTTATTAAGCAAAGAAACATCTGGTGGCAGAAAGAGGTCCTGGGGTGGGCACTGTCCTGCACTGCAAAACAGTAAAGGAAAGCTCTGTACTACAGGGACAACAGTTTACACTAGTCAATTATTGTAACTGATCACAAATACCAGAAAGTTTTATACTAGGATGAGTGGAACCTGAGTAAGAATTATTTTTTTCTTACTGATAGTTATGCAGGTAAGGACAAATATTAATGGGAAAGTGATTCTATTAATAGAGTATAACAAAAGGGAAACATTTTAATAAAAATGCTTACAGATGCTATAACAACATGTTGTTGTTTATTTTAAATTTAATGAGTATACAGTATAGTTAAAATGGTAACATTTTCTAGTCTAGAAAAGAGCAAAATCAAGAAAGACTGCCATCCTGTAGATATTGCATACATCCTAGAAAAACCCTCCTGCCTGAAGGAAATGTGATCCTTATATGACTAAGAGCATCCTTCAGACCCTACATAAACTCTGAGATCTCTTTTCTTTTCTGTCCTTTCTGGAAGTCCCCAACACTACTGAAGGAAATGTGATCCTTATATGACTAAGAGCATCCTTCAGACCCTACATAAACTCTGAGATCTCTTTTCTTTTCTTTCTGTCCTTTTTGGAAGTCCCCAACACTGCAGACCTGAAAGTCTGACACATTACAGCAAGGCTGTCACCAACATTTCTGTTTAGAAGAGTACCTAAGGGGCAAAGCACAATCACCAGCACAGAAACAGATTTCCAGCATCAGAGCCATTAAACTTCCCATTAAAGCCCCCTGGGTTGCTTAATGGTCCTGAGCACTTAACATGGCACAGTTCCATTGCTATCACATAAGACAGATACATATCAATCACTGTGGTTAATGTTGCAAATCTAACAGAATGTTTCCTGTCTTTCTTTCTTTTTTATTTTTTTTTTTAAATTGTACTTATTACAGCACTGTTACTCTCAGGACTGAACCAGAACATGATTTTCACACTAGGCTGAACTGCATCTCTAAATGAAATTGTTATCAGTTGCAGAAGGTCTCTACACCAACAAATATCTGTTAAATTCATGTTATTAATGCATTAGAGAAATGTACAGCCTCAGGCTGAAGATAAAATGATGGTTCAGCATCCCTTGACTACAGAAGAAGAAGAGCAGAAAGGAAACCATCCAGCAGCTCCAGAAGACAAAACACAATCCAGGAAGCACACAAAATCCTAAGCCCCACATCCGTGTGTGTTGATGGTTGTTGATCAAGAAAGAGTACAACTCCTCATGCCCACTCCAAGCTTTTACACACTCAGAAATATTCCCAAGTAGCACATCCCTAAGGTCTTGCAAGGCACATGTCAGCATGGCATGCAAACCCAAAGAGGAAGAGCTGCCTCTCAGTTACAGGTAGGTCTGGGACTCCGGATGATTCCATTCTACTTTCACTACTGTGATACAGCACAGATGCTGCTTTGTAGTAGCATACACAAAGCTGAGGGCTGCTCTCACACCAGTCAGCTGGGATCCCTGTAGCCATGACTAAGTGCTCCTGCTTCTCAGTCACCAGCTTCCTGTGACTCGTATCCTGGCCTGGTAGCCAAAAAGAGCCTTCCTTTTCAACCACGGCTGTTCAACATAATAATGTCTTAAGACTATGCACAGTACCATGTAATATGGCTCTCTGCTGACCAATAAATTGTGCTTTAATGAAAAATCTTGAAAGAGAACACAGAGGGTCTGAACAAAGGTCTGAGTGAATCCTGGAACCCACCTGCCTGTGCAAAGACTGCTGAGTTCATACCAAAGTGGGGTGTGATTAAAAGGAGGGTGATGATCCATTAGTTTAATTAAACATTTAACCAGGTCCTGTGGAGACTTTCAGCTGACAGCCCCAGTAATTGTCAGGGAGAATGTCAGGCCAGGCACTTGGTAGGCCAGAAAACTGATTTTGAAGTCATTGTAATAGCCCTGCTTTATTACACTTGTTTCATAATTGGGGTCACACAACAGCAGGGAAATTGGGGTGGTTTGCCCAGGAATCCTGTGGTGTGAAAAGCCATAAAAGGTTCCACTCAATACCTTACCCCCAAAGCTTTGCCAGTGACAGAGTGAGCACAGACACCTCTGAAATTTAGCTTCTGTCCCAGATGCTGTGAATCTTTTACAACCCAATCTGTCAGTGTTAGAGGTGGCCTAAAGCTGCTTCCTGACCTCAGCCAGCATCTAAAAGCTGTGCACAGTTTTAAAAAGAAAACAATTAGAAAATAATTTTCCTTGAACAAATATTTTGACAACAGGACTGGGCGGGAGTTGTGGGGGAGAGGAACATTACCTTTCAATCCTCTACTGGTGTTAGGGAGAGAACAACCACTCTTCCTAAAGACAAAGGCAACACTCACCATTCTCTGACCTTCTGTCAGCTACAGAACTGCTGCACCCCATGGTTCCAATGATGCTGCCCATCCGTTTTAATTGCTGCTGACACGAAGCATGTTTCTCTCAGCTGTTAGCATTATACACATTTCCTGTGTTGTTCCTTCAGTGATGAGGGCTATACTCCTTTGGGCTCCTGGGCTCTTGCTAGTACTCCTAACAGGCATGAGATTGGGAAGGAGAGATAGGGAGAAAAAAAAATGGTAAATGGTGCTTGACAAGACAGAATCTGAAGTACCTTCAGCCCATAACAAATTATTGTACAGCACACCCCACCTAAACTGGACCACACCAGGGGTTTTTTTTCCACACCTGATTACTGTCAACTTGCATGCAGGAGAAATTAACTTAGTAATTAATACAGTTTACTCCTTACATGTTCACTTAATGTAAATGTGCAGCAGTGGTTTCTTATATGAAGAATTGCTATTTAAAACCTTACTGCTAGGGACAAGGGACTATGGAGACACATTACTCTTCATTCTTACGATTTGAAAATTGGAACTGCAGAAATTTAAAGATTTTAAATGACATGTGATAGTACTGCTAAAAAAACCCCAATCCTCCTAATACTCCATTGATTTGAAAAGTTGCCTTACCACCCCATTTATCATTTCATCCCTCAGTGTTACCACCACCAAATTTACCAGGACAGACAGTACCATAGCAAATCACTTCATTATCAGATGTCATTTAAATAAAATATCCAATTTTCTGTTGCATTTCTACTGAAAACAATCCAAGGAAAAGATATTGTTTCATTAAATAGATGAACAAAATACATTTTGAAGTGAAGTCTTTTGGGTTTTTCTCCTGGCACTTGCTCAGTTCTTCAGTAAATAGTATAACTCGCTAATGCAATACACTCTCTAATCAACAAATTCAAATGAATACAATTCCTCTGAGATACAAAATGGATCAATTTCTAAGCAATAAGAAATTCACTGATGCTCTTAGATACTGAACTTTGTTTTAGCTAAAGATCTCTTATATGATCACACTGACCCCACTCTCTCTGTCTCCAGGGATACATCTGACATCTAAATTATTTTATCGGTTTCATTGATATTCCTTTTCTTTTAACTTGAGTTTTAAAACAAAGAAGAAATTCATCAGCATAAAATGAATGCTTAGCTACTATATTCCTTTGGCTTTACTAGCAGAAACCAAAATAAAAGAAGGATACAAAAGAAAAAAACATAAATGTATAACTAGGTGATTTTCAATTTCCATAATTAGAAAACATTTATAGTTGTGTGTCTGAATGTGCAGATTTCAACATTTATTATTATAAAAGATATACTGTCCTGTCATGTTAATATAACACAACTCTTTGTCATTCTGGGGCTTTTATTTAGGATCCCACAAAACAAGGGTATCTTACACTTGAGCTGGGTCTAACTCCTTATGAGTCAGTAATTAATTCAGGAAAGAAGGATTTTAAGGTTTTTTTTCCCACACAATGGACTGCTTTACTTCCCTCTGAAGGAGCTATCCTGAAATCCACAGAAAGTGCTCTTACATTAATTTTGAGCCCACCAATGGCTTTGGCAGCATCAAATACAGCACTGATATTGCTAATAGCTCAAATTTGTCTTCTCTCCAAACAATTCTTGCTCTCCTGGTTACCATCTCCTCACTTACCCTCTGAAGAGAATCTCAAACCCTCATTACTTCATCTCAAACAAGCCAGCCATGACTTGAATTGTGATCTGAAGACTGGACTAAGGGCAAAATAGACCGTTCAATCTAAGTTCTGCTTAGACTCTTGATTAAAGGCAGGTCAGCCTGTGCCCAGCAAGTGGGCAATGGGTGCCCTAAACAGAACCATCACACCTCTCAGAACTCCATCCAAACCACAGCAAGCAATGGGCTGACCCAAGAAATGGGGGCTGAATTGTGATCATAACCTGCTCTCAATGACTTCAGCTTTCCTCCCAGTCATCACCAGTCTCCACCACATACATCTAAACTCATGGACTTTTAGAACCTCCTTGAGCAAAGAAATTAAAAGATAGAGGCATAGGGACACAAATTTTACTGTGACAGCAGTAAATGAAGACTCAAACATACACTCAGAGCTTGTGCAGATAAATCCTATCATTAAACCTCCTAAAAAGGCCAAATCTGGCCATCAAAGGGCTAGTCCAGGGGAATAATCACCACCTTCAGTCCCAAATATCTGCATTCTAAAATGGACAGGGTGAACATTCAACTACCTTTTCATGACAACTTCTCAAGTGGCTATGGAGCCATCCTCAGTGCCAACCTGCATGCCCAGACTGCAGGCCAGGAGAATAACTTCCATGAGCTACTGACTACACAGTGTAGCAGTGTCTGGTGAAGAATCATTTGCCATTACAAAATTCCCCCCAAATGCTGGCTGATAAAATGGAAAGCTGGGCTTTTTACCAAGGTATTGCAAGAGACACAAGCTAGCTAGGTGAGAATTTGAAATATAACACTGTATTAATATTCTGGATATTATACCACTGATTTACCTTTAAGAGAGAATCTGTCACATTGACTGAAAAGCAGGCATTCAATTTCTACAAGTCAGTAATCTGCCCCACTTTTAGACATAATTCAAAAAATTGCCAGATTTATCTCAGTTTAGCAAAAAAGCCAGTTTTGTGATAGACAGGCAGTAAAAGCACAACCCATCCACTGAAGCAAAATAAAATGTCTTTGCAATCATGTCAATGGACATGCACAAAGCTAAGCCAGAGTGGCACATGCTGCTCTTTCCTGAACAGGAGTTGCTGAAGGTTACACACAGCAAGTGCTACAAAATCTGGGGCTGAGAACCCGAGCTGTTGTGAACCTGATTTACAGAGAACATGGCTCAGCATCATTCGGTCTGGATGTAATAGGTGCTGCCCCAAATCAATCTTGCCTCCAGTTTGTCAGTCACATAAAGACCAGGCTGCCTCAGCCTCCAGGAAAATGGAAATCCTGTAAAAATTTATAGCTGACTTCCAATGAAATCAGACAGCAGGGTCTTTGGGCAGAGAGCCATCCTTTAAAGCACCTTATCTTTACAAATTATTTGACCTGTGCTATTGGCAGACAGGTGTAAACTAGGTTAAAAGAGAGGATATGGAAGCCATACAAATAAGAGCCACTAGGATTTAAGTTCTTACTCCTCTCTCTGTCTTTTCATTTGTTTCTTACCTTTGATAAACAAAAATGAAAGTCTTCTCCTTTTATTTTTGTTTGGATGTGGTTTCTATAATTATGCTACTTCCCCTAGAAGTTGTTTCAACAGTTCTCTCCAGCAATATGCCAGCTTTCACTACTTGCCCCTTTTCTCAATCATATTTTTGAACAGGTAGCTAAAATCTCCTCCCATAACATGTCTTAGGAGAGGTGATAAGACAGAGAGAGTCTTCTGCATAAAGATCTGATGGATGGATGGATGCTTCTAATGACAGAGGCTTTCCATTAATGCTATGTTGTATAATTATTTTACTGTGACTCACAGATTTCTTTTAGAATTGTTTTCCTTTGGAAACTAGGACTGCTTTTGTGATGGATTTGCTTCTGTGCATTGCTGAGGGAAAGAAGCTGGAAAGACTAAAATATCCTAGAGAAGGGAACCCAGACATTAAATCACAACACTCAGGTCAGAACCTGCAGAAAAACAGGTCTCCAAAACTGTCTTGTTGGGATTGTCAAGGATGAGAAGCCAGAGATGAGTTGAAGATCTCATTAGCTAAAAGACCCACCCTGCAGAAAGCAGGACAAAGCAGTCACAGTCAACTAGCAGAAATGGAGTGAAATGGAACCTGGCTATGGCGCAGGAGTAGTAATTTTGGCACCAACACCGAATTTGATCTGCCAAGGGGTTGATATGAGAACATCAAACATAGACAAATCAATATGTGATTAGGTCTCCATCATTTTACATCCATGGAACAAACGAACATTTCTAATAAGTGATTTTCGGTGATTATAAGGATGTGAAAGACACAAATGAGAAAGGCTTTTTGTTAACAGATAATTTCCTTTGCCTGCTCAGAGAAGCAAGGCTAAACTCAATATAGGGCTGATGGAATGATTGCTGTAAGTGGTCATGTCGACAGGCCTCAGTGTTGGGGCCAGGAATCAATAGGGAATGGGATGCATGTGGTGGCTTGAGCACTGGCCAAATGTTAGTAAGATACCAGAAAGCCAGCAAAGCCTGAAAGAGAACAGGATGAAGAATAGGATGAAGTTTTAAGGTGGACTCATATTCCTGAGCCAGAAAATGCACTGCAAAAAGAAATAAAAGCAAGAGTAGCAAAGTTGTGAACACGTAGATAATTCAAGCAATCCCTGAGCTCAGGAACTGCATGCAAACCCAAAGAGAATCTGCAGAAAAAATGGGGGGAGAATAGCAGTTAATGTTACTTATAATCAATAAAGGGTACATTTATTTTTGGAGTTTTTTTGGTTTTTTGGGGGGGGCAGAAAATAAAGAAAGCACCCTCATTTTTTTCGTATAGCAAGACTTTAGAAAGATTTTGTTTTTAAAAGAGGAGGAATAGCAAATACAAGTGGACAAATGGGGTACACATTCTTCTTTGAAGAACAAGCAAACCCATCATATCACTTTCCAGAAATGTTAAATGCCTCTAGGGGGAGATTCCTTTAGGCAACAAGGGGAAAACTGAAAATCCTGAAGCAACTTTGGTTCTCGTAAACTGAACCCAACTGAAGCATAAAAGTTAACACCCTTTAAGCAAAAAGCTGGATCACATACTGTCCTGCACTTAATGAGCAGGGTCTTAATGACATCCTGAAAAAGCAAATATTTGGAATAAATATGTGCTGAAATCTGAGCCAGTTTAAAAATTAAATTAATGCTTCAGCGTGGTTTTCATAAAATTTAAGTTAGGTATCAGAACAAGGTTCAAAATACAATAAAAATTATTTTTCCTAAAACAAAAATTACATGAAATACAGTAGTCTCAAAGCTACTTGATTTCATCTGTACTCAGAAGTTCTGGATAACTGATTCAGTCCAGGTCAAACTATAGCTTGAAGCA